CTGATTTTCCCCTTGGGCTGACCTGAGCTTAACCCTCTGGCTTTGAGTTTTCTCGTAGTTGCTGGCACTTGGGGTTTTACCTGTCTTTTGAGCTTGGCTGTGCGTTAAAAATTATCTTTTATCACGTTCTTAAGTGTTTTTAGCTGAGAAAGAGATCAGTTCAGTCTACCAGGTTGCTGGAAATCCTTTCATTTATTCCTTACGACAACCTTATGATGGAGGTACTCTTATGCCCACTTTTTTTTTTGAAACAGAGTCTCACTCTGTTGCCCGGGCTAGAGTGCCGTGGCGTCAGCCCAGCTCACAGCAACCTCAAACTCCTGGCTCAAGCGATCCTCCTGCCTCAGCCTCCCGAGTAACTGGGACTACAGGCATGCACCACCATGCCTGGCTAATTTTTTGTTGTCCAGCTAATTTCTTTCTAATTTTAGTAGAGACGGGGTCTTTCTCTTGCTCAGGCTGCTCTTGAACTCCTGAGCTGAAATGATCTTCCCGCCTAGGCCTCCCAGAGTGCTAGGATTACAGGCGTGAGCTGCCGTGCCTGGCCTATGCCCACTTTATAGATAAGGCAAGTGGGGCTTGTGAAGCTTTAGTGACTTGCCCAAGGTCACATGGCTATTAAGTGGCACAGAACAGTCCCAGATAAAGTTCTGTTTGGATTGGAGGTCCGTGTTCTACCCACCATGCCATATTGTCACCTCATAACTTTGATTCCTCCTTCTTCATTTTCAGGAATTAGCTGCCATCAAGGGTACTCTCCTCCCCGTCTCCTTACACGTCTTTGCTTGTCCGTTGTCTTTGCTTGGCCAAGACCTGGCAGTGGAGAGCCATGGACCAGTACAGCCTGGGGGACGAGGGTGCCCTGCCGTCAGAAATGCACCTCCCTTCGTTTTCGGAGAGCCAAGGGCTCAACTGCAGCGACACCCTCAACCGGGATCTGGGTCCCAACACACGAGACCTGCTCTATGCCGGCCTGAGTGGTTTGGACCTGGACCCCAGCCTCCCAACGCCTGACATGCCCAGCGAGGCACTAGAGGACAACTTAGACACCCTGTCCCTGTACTCGGGGAAGGACAGTGATTCCATGAAACTGCTGGAGGAGTATGCAGATTCGGAATCTCAGACCCCCTTGCAAGGTGAGGCGGTCCCCTGGGGTGGAAGGGCCTGGCAGGATGTTTGACAGTTCCCGTGGCCAGCTAGGGATTGATTCTGCATGGATTGGTGAAGAAAATTTTTCACTTCTACAGGTAACTTAGGGAATGGTCACTTTTTTCCTACTTGGGAATTGTTCCCTACTTCCTAATATAGGAAATAGAACACTAATTTTAGGGAGTGATCTTGAGAAACTTGGATGTTTTGGGATATCCTAATTTGTGGCATGTGGGCAGACCTCAGTGTTTATGGGAGACTTTCCTACCCACTGCCACATCTTAGTACTTTACCAGAATGAGCTGGGTCCTGTCCATTCTGATCCTTTGTTGTCTAACCTTCCCAGGTCTCAGTGCCTTTATCTGAAAAGTGGGGGGACAATAATATCCCCTCTGCATCTCCCCAGAGTAACAGTAGTAAGAAGCAAAAGAAAAAACAATCATAAAAGCACTTAGAGCATAAAGCCCTGGGCAGATATTAGTTGGTTTCTTTAAAAAAATTAATATCATTATAGTTTATTTTAGATAGGCCCTTGATTCAGTTCTGAGTCTTTCTCTTCAGCA